CATCGGCCTTAGCATCGCCGGCATCGCCATCATCGCCGGCATCGCCATCATCGCCGGCATCGCCGGCATCGCCATCGGTAAGTAACTTAATAGTGAAAAAATAATTTGATACACTAAAGCTGTGACTGTGTTTTGAGGTCCACAATCCAGGCTATTTGAGTATTGCACTTCCTCTGTCTCATTTCCCGCCCCCTGCTTAACTCCTAAAGGTCCTTAGATTTAGGATTCTTGGATTTCTCTGCCACTGACTAACTTTTTGCCCTTGGGTTCCATGTAAAATCTATGCCCATGATTGAGATTGCACTGCCGTTCCCTGGAGAGACGCCTGTATTAATACTCTTCGTTATTTTCTCTGTCTGTAGGTTTGTAATTTATTCACAATATTTTCCTGAGCTAAGAAACCTGCTGTGATTCTGTCTTAAATTTGTGTGCACAATATTGGGGAACGGAAGGGGAGTGAAAAATCTCATTTCCCCCCTGCTCCCTCAAGAAAAGTTTCACTTCTGTAATTCTGTCTTGGGTGAGCATACTTCCTCCACACTTAGGACCGCGTATTTGTCTGGTGCTCACCAACAATGGAAAGGACAGAAGCCAGGAAGGGAAATTGTCATGAGATCCAAGCAAGCCCTTCCTAGGTTGGATTTGACAGTCTAGCATTGTGGGAATAAGAAAGTTGTTGCTTATATAAATAAAGTTCCCACCATTCAATTAATCAGTCTTCAGTGCAAAGGGCTCCACTTACCAGAGCATGGGTGTTTAGTCATCATGCTAGCAAATTCTGAGCACACGTGCAGCCCTTTCCCAAAGAATTCCCACAAAGGCTGTAGTAGCTTCACCTTTGTGAACTATTTTTTCCACTGTATAGGCCCCAGTTCATCAAAACACTTAAGCGTATGTATAAATCCCACTGAAGTCAATCAGAATTAAGTATGTGCTTTAAGTTTGTGTTTAAGTGACTTGTTAAATTGGAGCCATAGAGCAGCTTTGTCAAGCAGCGGGTACGGTCCCTGTGTGTTTGGGGCACAGCCATGCTAGAGACGGCTGTTACAAGCAGGTTTCTAGCAGTTTTCCTGATCCATGTGGACGGAGAATATGCAAACCCAAACTACTGTGCAGTCTGTATTCCTGTTGAATGGTTCTAAGATGTAACAGTCCCTGTGTGCTAGTCAGGGAAAACTGTGCTGAAATCTCAATAGCAGAATTTAAATGTATTTTTTGCTAGCCCAGTCTGATTAGAGGTTTTCATTCAAGTTCAAGATTGAGAGAATCGGACACATGCGGAGGGATTCATTTTCTATTTTTTATTTATTCTTTTTAAATATTTCATCAGTCAAGGAAGAAATTAAATAGGCCAATCTAAGCCTTGGACATTAGAATATATCCTATGACTATTTGGTTGAGAAAATTCCTTAAACAGCTTGGAGGTGCTTGAAGGGAAACAGATGATGGAAAGCTTGAACATCTTGAATGTTAAGTAGATTGAGTACTAAACATTCCAAATGAGCTAAAAATCTAAACATTCAGCAGTGTATAGACACATTAAATTGGGAGATCCAACATCAGAACCATTTTCTGGATAAGAAAGGGCTTTTCATGATTTTTGATCTGGGATATAAGACGGGCTTTTCCCTACTACTTATCTGTGAAGTTTGCTAGCTGTGTTTACCAAAATGTTAAATAAAATTTAACTTCCTGCCTTATCGCTGTTTTTTGTTTTTCTTCATGAACATTTGCAGTTTTGAATAAAAAACGGCAAAAGAAAACAGGGTAAGCTAGCCAAAGATTTATTTTTATTCTTTACTAATTTTCAACTTATCCTCATGGCATTTCCTTACTGCATGAACAGGTATTTCCTTCTGAGTTTTACTCTACCTTTTCAGCAGGGGTTGTCTTTTCTTGCATGTACCTGGATGTCAGGAAAAGTTACATATATGGTGTTCTGAAAATGCAGCGTTGAAGGAATGATATTTAATTGGTCTGGAATAAAAGAACCACAACACAGCCGCGACTGGCCCAGCTCAGCTGATATGGGCTCGCAGGGCTAGGGCTGCAGGACTGAAAATTAATGTGTAGACGTTCAGGCTCAGACTGGAGCCCAAGCTCTGGGATCCTGCCCTCTCTCGGAGACCCAGAGCTGTCTTTCACTGTGATTTAACAGTTTGAAACTAGAATGAGAGTCGGCATCATGTAATGGTTAGCTCTCCATGGACTGCCTGCAAAATGCTCCATGGACCATAGTTTGAAAATTGTTGGACTAGCTGATGCTGTGGTCCAACACATGACCATTGTGCTTCATCAATGCTTAAGTCTTAAATGCACAAGAAGGAAAAGATTATATAAATAAGACTGCATGTCACGAAAACAAGACAGAGCCATGGATGTGTGTTGGGCTGCTCCAGGTACCATGAAAATACAAATATCTCTGATAGATTTAGAAATTCTTTGTTGCTGTGGTTTGGTCCAAAACTCCTTCTTCAAATTTTTGCTTCCTTTGACCCTTCCCTGTCTGCTCCTTAAGTTGCACCACCTTGGGACACAGCCCTGTAGCCGCGCTCTAGTTTATTTCAGCAGGAATTCTGCACGTGGAGTGGCTATGGCTAAGGCCCAAAGTGTGCACCTTCAAGAATGTTTCTCATAAGGGGCATCTCAGTCTTCAAACCTGCAAAACATCAATATGGCAAATTAAAAACCCAAAGTGGGATTTGTGTAGAACTGCTCAGGAAGTTGTGTTCTCACAGTACAGGCTTTCTTTGTATCACTGCCAGATAATATTGTGTAAAGGCTTTTTAAATAGTTGCTTTGCTTTATAACATAGTCACTTGAATAATATTCCCCTGGGGTTCATTTATACTGAGATGCCTTTGACTTGCACCTAATATCTAGTCTATTTTTAATCTAATTTTCATTTTTAATTAGAGATTAATTTTGCTTTTGACATGTTAGATTGTGTGAAGTCTGCCTTTTACTGATTAACTTGGTTACTCTTTCAAGGTGACACCATCTCTTGTTACCTGTTGTGAAAAGATTTGCCTTCCCACACAAACACGATTACAACTGAATTTAAAAAAGCACCTGCCTGGTATTGTTTATATGGTGAATGAGATTTCTAGTTTGACACTTCCTGGAATCCATACAAGTAAAGCCAGTGATGTTAAGCTTCTAAACAAAAAATTGATTTCCAAGCCCTGACTAAGCTAATAGACTGCAGCAACCTATAAACAATCATTGGTCCAATGCCCTCCTAAACATGTAGAACGAAATTCTTCAGAAATCCATTCTGACTTCTAGAATTTCCAACTTTCCTTCTCATTTCTCACGAAATGTTTCATTCCAGTGAGGTTTTTTTAAGGAGCCTTATTTAATAGTAACGAGTTTCAGAGTGGTAGCCATGTTAGTCTGTATCAGCAAAAAGAACGAAGAGTACTTGTGGCATCTTAGAGATTTCATTGTTTTAGCCCACGAAAGCTTATGCCTAAATTCAATTTGTTAGTCTCTAAGGTGCCACAGGTAGTCCTCGTTCTTTTTATTTAATAGTGTGGACTATTGGACTTTATCCCACTGACGTGAAGTTTATGCTCATGCAATCCTGTTCGGTTTTGTCATGATCATAAAGCAGGTAGCTTGGTGAAGATAAGTTTTCTATTCAGAAGCCCAGTTTGCAATGTCATTTGAATAAAATATCCAGTGTTGGCAGTTCATAAGCAAAGATACTCACCCAGCAGAAATGAGTTTTTACTGTAGTAGAAGTAATCCAATGTTGTTGACTCACATGCGTCATGTTGTCCTGTGCAATTTCTTCCATGCTATGAACTCTAGTAGGGGCTAGAATTTCATTGTGAACAATATTGAAAGAGAACCAACCTAAATGTGGTTACTGCAGTCTTGTTTGTATATTGCTGGCAAAATATAGGTAGCAAAAAATATATGTTCATCAGACAAAAAAAGCAAATTAAATACTAATCTGTTCTTGCTTTATTGAGCTGTTGAGTCTTCAAGATAAATTATACAGAAGTGACTCTGTGTGGGAATAACATTCTGACTAAGAGACTTCATTCCCATGGCAAAAATATTGCTTGTTTTGTGAAATGTACTTACCCCTCTTGGTGAAAGACAATGATAAAGGGTACACACGTACACCTAAAAATGAAATGCCTGATGCTGAATATTGTTTTTCTGCATTGTTAAACCTTAAGCCTTGTGAGAATTTTTTACCTTCTTGAAAGTATAAGGGACATCAGATTTTGCAAATATGGTTTATTTTATTTTGAGAAGCATTTTACAGAAGGAAACAATGTTTTAAGTATCTTGTCCTTGCTAGCTGTAAAATTCCAAAACAGTAATGCTTCTACCACTGCACTTGGTAGAGAATTCCACTGATTAATACGTCTTAAAATCAAAATACTTTCCTAATATTCAGCCTCCAATTTTTCTTTATACAATTCTAGCTTTATAAAAAGGCTCCATCTTTTTTTTTAAACTACTTTAAATTCAATTTGCTTGTTATGTGAACATATTTAATCAGAAAATGTTGTCTCCTTTCTTCCTGTTCAGTTCTTACGGTGTAAATCTGGATTCCCAAAAGCATCACATTACAACAGAACATGATTTGGAGATGAATGAAACAAAATCTAATTTGATCTCGACAGGTATATATTTTTATAGAAAAATATTTTCCTGTACTCAAAAGTATGCAGGTGGTGTGGTGGTCTTCTGATTAAAATCCATCTGAGGGTAAGGTAGAAGTTTACAATATTAAATACAAATTGAGAATATAAATTACTTATATGGGTTATTCTTTTTTGTTCCATGTCATGAACAAAATGTGTTTCATTGGAGGGAGAAGGTGGGTGAGCTCTGTGTGGCTTGAAAGCTTGTCTCTCACCAACAGAAATTGGTCCAATAAAAGAGATTACCTCCCGCACCTTGTCTCTCTAATATCCTGAGACTGAGATGGCTACAACTACACTGCATGCAAAAATATTTCATGTAATATTATTTGGTTATCTACTAAAACACTGCATGCCTATGTTTTTCTGCAACCACAACAAACTTGAACACTTTGTGTGCTTTGTCTGTTAAATGCAGTATGTTGGAAACAGGTATTTGTCTACTATAAATGTTATTTCCATTTCATTACTTCTGTTATGATATAGGTTCTTATACCCTGCTTATGAACGTCGTATCTGAGCACCTTCTGCTAGTGTGTTAAGCATCGTGACTAACATCTGTCATGTGGTGGTTATTCTCTCATCCTCTCCCCGAGGGGAGAAACGAGTCCAGTGGACTGTCTTTTGTCGGTAGGTTTTCTCTGGAGGGCGGGGAGCATACGTGATGGCTTTTTACCGTGCATTTTGTTATGTATCTGTTAGAGATGGCAGCTCAAAGAAATGCGTCTTTCACTTGGAGTGGAAGGTGATAAGGTTTGTGTAGTTTCTGGGGGACTTCATTGCACAGTCTCAGCCCGGCCCCAGAGAAAGTTACGTCTCCCATGCAGAGGAGCTTGATATTTATTGTAGAGAGGAGTGTAGTTGTCAAACATGATTTTTGTCCTGGGGCCTTAGGCAGTGCTGTAGATATCAGGCCACGGAGTGCTTTGACGATAAGGACAGAAACCATGAATGTGATCCAGTATTCTATGAGAAAGCAGTACTGGGGTGGCGGAACTGGAGGGCCAGTGGGGGCTAGCGCCTCTGCAGTGGAAATATTGCGGGGGCTGATCTATGTTCCCCCATCCCCCACAGACAATACTTCCTCAGTGCCTGGGGAGAGTGTGAAATTGGGCAGCCCAGGCTTTGCTCTTCCTGTGTCCCCGCCCCCTGGGCACTGGGCAGAGGACGTACCTGGAGGCAGGGAATGGAACTGGGCTGGGCGAAGCCACATCATTGTGAGGGGGGGCCGGCATTTCTTCTCCGGAGCAGAAGACTGGGTACTGAGCGAGCGATTGCTCAGGGTGCCCAGGGTAGGGAAGCAGGGCCAGGGACACTGACCTGACCGTTTCCTTAGCCTGCCATGCCAAGGTGAGTGCCTGCCCTGCTGCCCATACTCTCTTTGGGAATGTCTACATAGGAATAAAAAACCTGGTGGCTGGCCTGGGTCAGCTGAGTGGGGCTCGCAGGGTTCGGTCTCTGGAGCCCTAGAGCACGGGCTGCAGCCCGATTTCCCCTCCCCCCCCCGCCAAGCCTGAGTCAGCTGACGTAGGCCAGCCACAGCCATGCTAGAAGCCCTGTATCCCTGTGTAGATGAACCCTATGAGCCTTGGACTCCTTAGCGCACCCCAAACCTCAGCCCCCCAGCTTTTCAAGTCAAGCTTCTGCTGCTTTGAGCCAGTGTGGAGAGCAGAGGACAGGTTTGATGTGCTCCCAGTAGCCTTCCATAGTCCCCTATTAAGAATGAAGGAGAAAATCATATGTTGTTCTTTGGGTGAAAAATAAATATATAAAAACAGAAAGATTATAAGCAAATACAAGATTTCATCTATAAGGAGGCAGCATTGCATGTGCTAGTTCCTCAGATGGATGATATGGCGCTCTGAGTGTGTAGTTACAATATATGGTGCTTTAAAACAGGTATGTGAACTAAAGTAATTGCTTAATTGAGTTTAGTATATATCACTAAGAGCTTAACTGTGTTTAGTATCTATCATAAAGAAGCTCACATGGACTTCATAAGGACTATACAGTATTTTACACAGCATTCACATGGTCCATTGTTAAATAAGAATATTCAATGTGACTAGATACTGAAGAAACTAATATCCTGCTATAAAAATGTTTATGTAAATCTACGTAGGTGCCATTCCTGGTGCAGAGCGGAACTTCTAGAGGAATGTTCCAGCTCAGCTTTGTTTTATGGTGGGGAGAAGAGCAGATTCACGGATAGCCTAGTTCTCCGTTAGTTAGCTTGTGTAATTATCAACACTCGTCATCAGTCACTTTTTTGTTGTTTGTCCCTTGCAGTTACTACCTCTGCTGACAAATTAACCCTAGCCTGTGACATCCACAATGCATGTTTTCTCCTGCTTTTTCTAAGGTTTTGACACTAAGAAAAATATGCCATAACTTCTGCTTTAACCTGAAATGAGTTAAAATGTTTCTGTTCTGTGCAGTTACACATAATACAAGAACTAGTATTTGTTCCTGACAATACTGAAAATCCAACCAATGAAAACTTTAGTCTAAATGAATACTTTGAAGTCTAAAGAAAGATGTGTGTAAGACTGAAGTATAGAACTATTTTCATTTAATTGTTTATCTTCCTTTTACAGTATAAATGACTGATGCTGGCTGATGACTCTGGTTTACACATTAACAGACATTGGAAGAAAATCATGGAAAAGTTAGGAGATAAATGTCCTACATTTGTACTGAAATTTCTGTAGTGAAAATAGACCCCTCTCAGGTAACTGCTGTTACTTTCGCTACAACTTCTTTCCTCTGTTGAGCTGCATTTGAATAAAGCAGAAAGACCGGAGAGATCATTGCTCTTGCCCTTGAAAATGGCTTCTAAAGCAAGCAAGGCAGTTTGGCAGCATCAAAATTACTTGCTCTTCTGAACATGCAGCTGGTTGCTTATTTGGTCTCTCCATAGTGCTAAACGTTTCCCCTTCAAGAACATAGTCACCATCAGAGCATGGCATGGTTTGGATTGTGAGTTGTGGCTGTAACTGCAGACAGCAAGAGAGCCTCTTCAGATTCCTTCTTACAACCTCCCATCATGGAGTATGTATTACTCTTTAAACACAAATTTAAAGATGACAGACACCAGGTGGAATGTCGTAGATTCTTCATAAAAACATCCATCCTGGGTCAGACCAATGGTCTATCTAGCTAGGTGCAGGGCCGGCTCCAGGCACCAGCTTAACAAGCAGGTGCTTGGGGCGGCTAAGGGAGAGGGGCGGCACCTGTGGCAATTCTGGGGCGGCAGGTCCCTCACTCCTTCTAGGAGTGAAGGACCTGCCGCAGCTTTTTTTTTTT